GACTTTTAGTAACCTTGGCAGCGCTGGGTTCCCAATCTATAGTATTCAATAATTACGCTTAGGTTTTAAGTAAAAATTAACTCAGTTTTATGTGTTCTGTCGTTTCTTTATATAAAGATGTTTCACATTTGGCCCCAATGATGACGTCATGGATAATTTCTTTATTTTTGCAATGCCACCTATTGTATTTGTTAATCTATTTTTGCAAACACCAGGCTGTTAAGTTAAAATAATTAACCCATAGGTTCTGACAACGGGGGTTGCTATATAGTGGTCCTAGGTAACTCCCCAGCTATCTAACCAAAATCAGAAAACTTATCTTCTCAAACAATATTCATTATTGATTGAAATCATATTTTTCTCAAAAATTTGTCATCCTAACAATCATATCTCCAGTTCCAAGCAAGCTATAGAAAAGAAAAAAAATATTTCTACAATTCTCAAATCAAAGAAATTCTTTTTCATATTTCTAAGATGTAACTTGAGTACTGAAGGCGTTAAAATTGCTCAAAGTATTTTCTATGAAAGGAATTGAGTCTTTGCCACAAATTCAGTTTTGTAAAACCTATATCTTTGCAACCTTATGATGTAAACCTTTTGTATTTTAAATTTACACTATTTGATCTAATAGCATTCATAGTTTGAAATATTACAGGTCTACGACATTGGCTTGCAACGATATTGAAACTAAAAAATCAGAGTTTGTGGCAAAAACTCAATTCCTTTTCTAATATAGCATTAACTTTGTGACACACCTAAGCAAGAAAATATTTTTTTCTGAACTAATAATTTTTATTCAAACTAAACTGGCTCGTGATTCTTAAGTGCAAGTTGGTGGGGATATTAGGGTGCAAAATTATATCTCCGCTTTTATGAAAAAAAGAACTTCTGAACCTTTTATTGTTATCTTGTTAATTAATTGTGAATTTGGTTGTAAAATAATTATTCTAAAAAAGTGTTTTTGTTTAAAGTTTAATTTTGACTGCTTAGTTTAGATGAATTAAAAGTTTCTCCTTCATCATAAATATGGGTTAAAAATATCAAATCAAGCATAATATTAACACATAACTTTTTTGTTACTTCTGCAATAAAAAAATATTAACACATAATTTATTTGTTACTTCTGCAATAAAAAAAAACATTATTTTTAAAATCATTGAAAATTCAAAATTATTGAAAATTAATCTCTAATAATTAGTGAAATCCGTTCTAAAAGACATAAAATTGAAAGTGTATAAACAGATGGAATTTTTGCAACTTAGATAGTTTAACTTAGATAACCAAAACACGATTACAAAATGTTCATATGTATCAATAGAGTTTACTTTAAGAAGACAAAAGTTTCTTAGGTACATAAGCAGTAATTATGCCGCAGCCGCAGAAGTTTCTTATTTAAAGATGACCAGTTTACGCTTACGCTCTCACAGCACCACCACCATCTTTGCACTTTACATGGAAAAGTTATAAAACAAATTGTACAAAATAGGTTATTTATAAATATACACTTTTTTGTCTACATTACAAAGAGTCTGTTGGAGACCTGACTTATGTTAAAACTTTCTAAATATCGTAAATATATCTTTTAGCCCTTATAACGCCTCCAGTATTATATATATTATAAAGATTTATTCACACACAAAGATATAAATACATATATAAATGGTGTAGTTAAAATTTGTTTAAATAAATTTTTTTTTGAAAACACAGGTTTCCAAAAGAAAAGAGAAAAAAATATGCAAAATTATGCACAAATAGAAAACAATGATTTTTACTCACTACATAAAATATTTATCATTTCAGTTATTACGTAATCATCGAATCCTTCAACATATAAATTATTCATTCTTGTACTTAAAAGTTCTTGTAAAACCGGNTTTGCAATATTCTGGGCCCCAACTTCTCCATCTATACAATTTGAAATTGTTGTATTTTGTCCCCGGAATTTCTTAATTTCTTTGAATATATCACCTCCTCCATTGAGCAATTTTTGAGTAAATTTATCTTGAAGTAATTGACTTTTGGCTCTCTTTAATCTTCTTATAGAATATTTATACTGCATGTGAGCATTTCGCTGCAAAATAAACAGTTCTCCCTCTCTTGGCCTCCCAGCTGCTTGCCAAACACCAAACCAGAACTTACTTTCAGCCTGATATGGTTTTACATATTCATTCCAACCTAAGATCCCTTTTGATTTTTCATTTGCCAGTCCTCCTGATTTTGGTAGGCACAACTTTGCTGCATTATCTATAGCTTCACATATTCCAGTAGCATACTCATCAATACTGGCATCATGATTCTGACAATGGAGAGTGTAGCAAAGGTTGCTACACTATGAAACAATTAGAAGTTATAGGAAAAGTTATTTCAAGTATAATGATTAAAGAATTCTATTTGTTAATCTATTTGATCCACAATAGTTTACTGTAAGCGCCGATTGAAGGATTCATATCTCTAATTGGATAATGAGATACTGGTACAGAATAGAAAAACATATGACTGAACCCTGATTGGTTCTTGCGTTAATGGGCTCGGCAAACAGGAGTGAATTGAGCATCCTTGTCTTATAAAAGATTTTGTGTTTTACACATCAAAAGCTGGATAAAAACTAAAAATAGTTGTTCCTCGAAAAACATTGTTTTATATTTTTTAGTTGATTTTCACAATCCACTCTTTTGCATCATGTAATACTATATATATATCTATATTACATATAATATGGTGAATAATTTTGCTATAATCAGTAGAAAAAAAGGTTTATTATATTATTTGCATTTCTATAAAGTTTTTTTTAAAAATGTATTTAACTTTTTAATGAATATTTACTGAAAACAATATCGTTCAAATTCTTAACGTCTAAAAGAATCAGGCCCAATTTTTTTTGATAACTAAACTGGCTAAAGAAAACATTTATTGCCGGTGTCCTGAATGGAGCGGACTCTTGCAGGGGGCCGACTCGACCCCTAAAGTTTAAACCATTTCAACACAATGTTAGACATAAAAAGCAATGTTAAAACATTATTGATCTACATACATTAAATACGCATTTAGTTTTTAAATGTATTTTAAAGGGGGTAGAGACAATGTCGTCTTCCTTTCAAATCATTAAACAATTATTATTTACTCGAGACATAGATAATTCTGAATGTGTTTTTAAATCAAAATACATTAATAAATATCGGAAAATGGCATAAGATTGCTTTTTATAATGTCTAACTTTAGGGGGAGTCCTCCCCATTCAAGAGCCCGCTCTATGCATGACACCGACCGAAAGTTTAACAAAATTTATATTTTTATCAAAGGTTGAAAATCCACCAAAGAAAATAGGAAAATCACAGACAGTTCTCTAAAAATCACGGAACCTTCTTAATCTTAAGAAACACGCAACCTCTAATATAATATAGAAAATCATGCAACCTCTATCAATATTTTTCACATTCACTAACTTTACGTCATGGAAATTTTATGAATTGACATTTGATAAAATTCAGTTTGATCCAAGTTAGAATAAGGGGAAGCACTTGAGCTTATTTAAATTAATGTTTCTTAAATTAACCTGTTTGATCTCAAAAAGATTTTAAAAGTGTATTCAAAGTTTGTGATAAATACTAATAAATTGTGTTTTAATTTCATAGGTTTCATGATATTTTATTTACATAAATATATACTACAGTTAAACTTCATTTGTAATTAAGTTTTAGCATACAATTCTTAACAATATCTTTATTTCCGTTTTCCAAGAAATGTACTTTGATAAATTGTAAACAGATGGCAAATGGTAAATAAAAAATATCATCTGTAAATAAAATTTAAATCTTAAATTGTTGGGAAAAATTATTAATTGAGAAAATATAGATTTATTGAACTAAACATTCAAATGAATGATTTTTATTAACTTGTAAAAATAGTTTGGTTAGAATAAATAGATAGATGATGATATAGATAAAGAAATATCGGTGTATAGATATGAAATAAAGATATACGTATATAGACAAATGGTTTAAAAATAATGTTCCTTATTTCAAAGAGTTAGACAATTTAAGAAACATTTCGAGGAAGTTATTTTTATATTTAGAATTTTCTTGGTTTTTAATAATAAGCTTTTAGTTTGGAGTGTGAAATGGTTTTTTCATAAGTTTGAAAATAGATATAGACGTATAGATAGATAGATATAGATACAAATATATATATATATATTTATTTATTTAAAGAATTGTTCAAAACTACTGAGGATCGTCATGATAGACGTGAAACATTATGTTTAGTATAATCCTTTTTTTTAATAAAAATGTGACGTTAAAAACTATATATATATATATACATATATATATATTTAAATACTAGATAATATATTTGATGGATAAAGATATGGATTTAAATTCAAATTTCTTAGATCGCATTATGAGAGGGACAAGTGTTTTACCTTGAATAATAAATCAATTTTTTTTGAAAGATAAAGATATTAAAAGAAATATCTGCCTTCTTTAAAGATATATTTATCGTTTTTTCAGTTTCTTCATTTTTGGACAATTTTAATATTTTAATTATAAACTCATTCAGATTCATGCATTTTTTAAAAACAGAATGAAAAACGCTCGTGTAGTATGAAGTGTATTACGCTCATTGTAACACAATGTGCACAGCAGCACTGTCGAATCTAAATCATGTTTATAATAGTTATTAAAACTTTTTCTTTAACCACTCTGTTAAACATTGATAGGGGCGGGAATAAACTTCTGGTTGGTTTTATATCAAGCTTTGCTTGGATGGCTTGGATTACAGGATTTTGATTGGTCTGCGCGCGTTTGATATCGTTTAATTGCGCGCGATATCCCGGGATTCTTGGCGGCCGTACGCCCAACACACCGGTTACATCGGAATTTCTCTCTGAGGGAATCGACACGTACCGCCCTATTATATCTGTCCCAGCCCGCCAATATTGATGAGATGGCTCGGTCCGCCGGTTATTGATGACCCGGCCCGGTCGGGTCGGGCGTTGTGAGCGCAACTGAGTGCGGGACGGATAACGGAGCAAGCAGTATAAACTTTATCAATCTAAGAGTGAGGAGCCTGGAGAGTAGTTCCTGGATAATTAAGATTAAAAACATTATTTAACCGCGGAGAAACTTGATCACAGCATGGTCAGCATGGAGACCGGCCTTAGGCACGAGCATATGGTGAGATCAATGTTTATATTTATTCGGATTTATTTTAATTTTTTTAAATTTGATGTTTACTGCTTGATCGTTTATATGTTGGCCGCCAAAACACAACATTGATTTATGATATCATAAATCAATTTTTTTAAAGAAGTTTTAATGTTTAAAAAATGAACAATTCTATAAGAAACAAAATTAAAAATCTTGTCTTGTTTACAAAACAACAATTCAATTGAAGTTACGCTTATTTTAACTAATTTCAAATCTCAGTATTTCATAAAAACTTTAAATATTTTTTAATCGAAAATTTATAAAATTATTTTAGTGAAGTTTCATAATATTCCATTCTTTGATGATTTAAATGTTGTTTTGTTTTATTACATTAATCCCACAATAAATATATTTAAAGCTTTACAAACAAATAAATACGGGGGGAGGGGGGGAAAGGGGGGTATATATAGATTTTGAAAGGATGACATTTAATCTGCAGAGGATGGTTGGAAGAATTTAAAAACTATTTTTAACAAATGATATTTCTTATAGTTAAATTTTAGTGAAGATTATTAAAAAGTTTGGAAACGAAGTTATAAAGCTTTATCTATATACAGATGTTCTATGTCATTAATAAATATCAAAAATAAAGTGATTAAAACTTTAAACCTAGATAGGTGAACTGGTTAACCTAGATAGGTGAACTGGTAAACCTAGATAGGTCAACTGGTAAACCTAGATAGGTCAACTGGTAAACCTAGAAAGGTCAACTGGTAAACCTAGAAAGGTGAACTGGAAGCATAGATAGGTCAACTGGTAAATCAAAATCTGTCATAATTTGCCAACATTGAGAAAAAAAGAAATTTTATTTATCATGTTTTCTCGACATTTAAAATGTTTTTATTCAGGGTTCTAGGTTGGATTTACTTGGTCGAAATATTAACAATATCGTTGGTAATCTCTGGCAGAGACAGGAGACAGAGCAGGGTTCAGGATCTAGCAATGGAAACTTGGTGAGCTTACTTTTTAAATCATATCAACAAGGGAATTGAGTCTTTGTCACAAACTCAAATTTTCTAATCACTATATCTTTGCAACCCAATGTTGTAGACCTTAGATATTTCAAACGATGAATTCTGGAAGTTCAAATACTCTAATTTGTAAATATCAAAGGTTTAGGCCATCAGGTTTAAAAGATATGAGGTATAGAAAAATTTAAGTTTGTGTCAAAGACTTAATTCCTTTGAAAATTTTGCTTTTTTCCCTTAATTTTCCTTTTAAATCCCGGGATGCAGTTTATAATAGTTTTGGTTTTAAAGACCTACATCCTCAAGCATGCGTGTACTTTAATCTACACGTTTATGCGGTATTTTCTCAAATATGGTTTGCGGATTTACAACTGTGCTGACTTTACAGTAATGCACTTGCTAAGTTGCTAGCAGACGACATATTTGCGTATAATTGTTAAAGAATCCAAAGGGGGAGTAAGGATCTAGGGAAAACATTGATAACCATCTTTAACTGTGCAGACAGCATTCAATAAACAGGCACTGAATGCTTTATAGCCATGAGGGGGGGGGGTTGTATAGTATTACCCCCCACTATCCTTTGGTATTCAAACCAGCGTGGGCATAACCATCAAACCTAAAATATTATTGACAACTGAGAATTCACAAGATTTTAATTCAATTATTATTCATATTAAAGTACTGTGAAATATATCTGAATATTTTCTCTGGTAAAGTGATGAGTTTGTCGCTTCTTTCAAAATATGTAAATGGGAATTCCTCTGTTCTTGTGATATATATGCAGACTCTTTATGAATCCAATCCTCACTTACAAATATTTTGTTTTTATCTAATGAGAAAATCCTTTAAATCTCACTTCCTAGTTTTATATCGCGAGTTTCCGGTCAAAGTGAAACAGACCCCCCCTCCCCTCCCTTCTTTTAATATTTTCAAACAAATCTAATTCTGTAATCTACGCAAATAAAATATTTTCAAACAAATCTAATTCTGTAATCTACGCAAATAAAGTTTAGCATCCTCCCCCTCTCTCACATTTTTTGCTTTCCAGTTTCCCTTCATTTCATTTGAGAACAAATCTGAGTTCTTTTAATAGGACTAAAGTGGGGAACAGATTTTATTAACCCAATTTCTCGAGATATCTAGCTCTACCCGTCCATTACAATAAAACAGGGGTGTATATCTAGCTCTACCCGTCCATTACAATAAAACAGGGGTGTTTCACCAATCAAAACATCAAAAAAAAGAATCTTTCTGAAAAAAATCTTTAAGTTTTATTGAAATAAGGTTTTCAAATTTTTTCAAGATCCCTGATCTAATGTTTAGTAAAGAATGACAGAGCAGGATGAAAATTAGGGTTTTCTTGTTGTTTTCTCCTTAAACTGGGTGACCTGCACCTTATCCGACATTATTTTACGTTTTACATCCAACCCAGCTCGGGTTAACAGCTCAGATCTATCCTGGATAAGGTTGGGTTAAACTTTTCCGAGATTCTAGCACAGAGTGTTATCATTTATTCTGTGTATCAAAGTCCTGACATAACTTTGTGTGCAGGAATCATGTAGCACAAGATAAAAATACATCCAAGGTTTTCAAACAATTGGCAGAAATTGTTGAATTTTGCAAAAGAAATTTCATCTCCGTTAGAAATATGCATTTTGTCTTGCCTTTGAATACCTTAAGTGCAAAACTGCTATTGCAAATTGAACATGAAAGCAAAGCAGAAGAGAAAAGCGATATCATTATATTTTTATGACATAAAGATGCAAGGCGGGGGGAGGGGGAGGGGGGGATTTAACCCGATTTCAGGGTTAATATTTCTCTTTTATAGCCCGAGCATCATGTTTATAGGAGAATACAATCTGAAGATGATATTAAGCTTTCCTCTAATTGAATTCATTGCATTCTCCTTCCAGTCTAAATATTTTGAAATCTTCAATTTTCATTAATTCCCTCTAATACTATTCCCATCCACATACAATTCACCATTATTCCCCCCCCCTAAACAATTCAACAATTCTCCATCTTCTTAAGCAACCCCCCCCCCCTCTCCATAATGTACAGATGTGAAATCTCCTTGTCTTTGATTTAAGATTCCCCATGTTAAGGCCGCAGTAACCCCACAACAACAATCAATCTAGTGAAAGCAAGGCACAGCCCTGCTATTGTCAAGTTGGGGGGGGGGGGGGGGGGGGCGAACTGCCTTTTATCAATCTTTATAATGAGAAGCTGAGCCTCAGTGTGACACGCGTCAACTTTAAAGGGAGAAAAGTACAGGGGAACAAATTCCCTGAATAGAAATAGAAAAATAATTTTATTTTTAAATTCTAGAGTCCTAGAAGTGGAGGTTCTGGTCCTGGAAGCCCTGAGGACGGGGTGAAAGGTGAGGACGGGATAAGGGAGGATAGTATGAGAGAGGACCGTGAGGACAGGGATGAGATGAAACCAAGTATTGGGATCCGCTCCGACCTTCTTCCTCTTCACCCTGGGCTTCATGATATATCTGGTCTACCAGCCCTTGAAGCACTACGGAGACAAGCAGGACACAATCCCTTCCTTAGCTCCTTGAGTCCTCATGGGCTGAGTATGCCCGCGAAGCGTCCTTCTCAGCCACCAACACCTCAGAGTTCACATAGTGGAGGAGATCCGTCATCAGCTTGGAGCTTTGAAGAACAGTTTAAACAGGTGCAGTACGTTAATATATACATGTGCTGTAAATTAATATTTGTATACAAATGTAAATGTGCAGTACATAAATATAAACATAAGCACATATTTATAAATCAAAATAATTTTGTATATTTTGTGTGTGTTCTTAATATTACGTGATTTTTTCTTAAAAATTAAAGCAATAAACAATAATTATTACAGAAAAAAAAACCTAATTATACCAATTTAGAACTTAAACAATAATTCTTCAAAATAATATGAATGCTAAAATAACATTATTTTTTTATTACAGCTTTACGAAATCGACGATAATCCTAAGCGTAAAGAATTTCTGGACGATTGCTTCGCTTTTATGCAAAAAAGAGGTGAGTTCACTTTTTTAGTTTTAATGCGACATTTTTTTACTTTTAATGCGACATTTTTAGTGTTAATGCGACATTTTTTTACTTTTAATGCGACATTTTTAGTGTTAATGCGACAATATCTAATTATCTATCTAACTAGCTATCTATGTAATTATCTATCTAACTAGCTATCTATCTAATTATGACCCAAACTCAATTTTCAAAACCTCATAACTTTGAAACCTATTGTAAAGATATAAATATCAAACCATGAATTCCGCCAGATCAAATAGGCAAAGATTAAAGTTAGGTAAACGCCAGTAGGTTGGAAAAACATATGATTAGAAACCTAGAGTTTGCGGCAAGTTTTCAGTTTTAAACAAATCTACAAAAAGTATTTATATATTTTCTTTTCTTTGTTTAAAGCAGTAATAAGATATGCATACAATACCTAGTTTAAACACTACAATGCATACTGCAAAAGATCGCATTAAATCTATAAAAATAGTTCTGTAAATAGTAGTGTTGTTTGATAAGAAAAAAAAAGAATTTTAAAATCTATATTTTTCTATTGTATGAATACAAAGTAGATTTTATAATTAAGTTTCTTGAGATTTGCCCCCTAACAATTCTTAAATTGACATGTGTGAGGCAGATGCAAGGAATCATTCCACCTTTCAATATGGGATATATTCCATATTTATAAATATAAATAATATATAAATAAATGGGCTCCAAATATCCTAGAATTATTACAAGTATGTGGATTAAATGTTCGGCTTGATTAGGCAGGTCTCAAGAATGCATTATGCTTGAATAAAGGCCGAGCTCTAATTCCAAGATAATCAAATATCTTTCGGCATTCTCCAATTCTCTAATTTCAAAATTCTTACATTCTCCAATTCATTAATTCTCTAATTATAAGATTTATTATCTAGGTTTCTCTATTTAATGTTTACTATAGTTCTTCTAAGCCTATCTCTAAATATTTCAGGATCTCCCATCAATCGTCTCCCCATCATGGCCAAGCAGGTGTTGGACCTGTACGAGCTGTACAACCTGGTGGTGGCCCGGGGAGGTCTGGTGGAGGTTATCAACAAGAAACAGTGGCAGGAGATTATCAAGGGTTTAGGTTTACCCTCATCCATAACCTCGGCAGCCTTCACACTCAGAACACAGTACACTAAGTATCTTTATCCTCTGGAGATGCATCAACATAATTTCTCTAATAACTCCGACCTCCAGTGTGCTATTGACGGGAATAAAAGAGAAGGACGGAGACTCGCACCTTACGATATGCCCATGGGACATTCTTCTCCCCTTGGTCCTCATCGTCTTCCCCACTCCCCTACCCAGTCCCCTCCACATCATCAACAACAACAACATAATGATCATCTGGCTCAGATAGAGATGACACGCCTTGCTCTTTGGAAGTTGTACAGTCAGGGCGGAGCACCTCCTCCGCCTCCCCAGATGATGCCCCTCCCCCCTCTTGATCTAGATATGAGGCGGAGAGAGCATGAGAGGATGATGGAGGAACAGAAGGAACACATCTTGAGGGCGGAGGATGAACGGCGGAAGGAGGAGGCAAGGCGGAGGATAACAGAGAGCGCAGAGGACGAACCGGCGGAGAAAAGGATTCGAGTTACAGAGGAAGAAGAGGAGGAGGAGGAAGAGGAAGAGATAGAACATGAAGAACCTGAACTTGAGGTTACAAGGAAGCCTAGAGCAAGTACGAACATCAGTGTAAGCCAAGGATCTGGTTCTGAAGACGGGAAGAGCATGAAAATCTCGATGGAAGTGAACGGTATCTTGTACTCGGGTGTTCTTTACGCCAAGCAAAGTTGAACATTGCCAAAGTATGTTTTAGAACTTTTATATTCTAAGTCTCAATATGTGTATAATGTTTATAGATAGAAATTTAGTGTGTTTAATAATTATACTTGTATTCTAACCCCTCTTACCTCAATAAATTTTGAATCTCCCTAAACAATAGTTTTTATATTTATTTATGTACAACACAAAACTGTTCACAATTAAAACTAAAAAAAAGCTTATATTGCAGTACATGATTGAATACACAGATAAGTTTAGAGTAGGGTTTCATTTTATAATGTTAAGTCAATAAACCACTAAATAAACGTGAAATGAACATGATGGATCTATAAGATGAAACTGCCCTTTATCCTGAATCACAAAAACTATGGAACTCATTACTCGCCGCAAATTTAATTTTTAGCCCAATATTTTCATTTTGACCATTTCATCAATAAAAAATTACATCGTTTGAAACTTTAAAAAACATCAGGTTGCAAAAATATTTGGATTAAAAAATTATATTTGAGGAAAGTGCTTCACGATCTGGAACAGGCAAACATTTCGTTAATTTCGCTTTCAACAATTTTAAAGATGTTTTACTTTTCTTTTTGAAGTAAGATATAATTATTTTTTAAACATGATTTAACTTTTAATTAAATCCAATTTTTATATTCTTAGAACCTCATAATACCCCCTTCTTCATATAAAATGTTGAATACAGGAAATGAATAGTTCTACTTCCGTTGATTAAAGGAAGCGGCTTTTGCTTGGTCACCCATTATTATATATTTTTTTATATTTTTATTGTTCATGATTATTTCAATTGTAAGGAAATTCTGAGCCGGGTAGGTTGGAAATATCGTATTTTAAGAAATTAAACAGCTTTGTCTGATGCAAAAATATGTTATCCTTGTTTTCTAGCTGAATATAGAAAAAGCTAAATTGTGGTTTTTCATTTTAAAAGTAATTTCTGCAGTAGAGACAAGGAAAATAATTGACAGAATTGATCTTATTTCCAGATAGAAAACAGATTAAATTTTCCTCAAAGAAAGGTTGAAAGGGTGCCATTGTTAATCGGGTATGTAACTGATTGATTGCAGGATTACTTGAAAATGCACCGACAGAGAAAGTTCCTTTGATTACTCCACTTGGATCAGATTCATTAAAATTCATAAGAGGTGTTGGATTTTCATGGAAAAAACTAATCGAACTTCAGTTCAGTTTGTAATGGGGGGGGGAGGAGGGAGGGGGGGGGTGAACACGTGTTTTATTCGTTTTCTAAGAGGAATGATATCCTAGTAATCTAAATGATGTGTCAGAAGCTTCAATTACAAGGATTGAGTATCTGGGAGTATCCAGGTATCCAACCTCCGAGGTGATATTAACCCAACCCTGTCCTCACCTAGAATCTAGACAAATTAATCCCCACCCCCCTCTCTAACTTGAATAACCCTTCCCAGCTGGAATAAATCCCATTCTCTATTAAACGTCAATAAATCCCCCCTCTCTTAGCTACGATTAATCCAATCCCTCCCTAACTTAAATAAATCCCCCGTCACATTCTATGAGTATTGAAAATTCTCACTAATAAATACATGAATATTTTATAGGTATTGTATCCTGTATATTTTATAGGTATTGTATCATACATATTTTATAGGTATTGTATCCTGTATATTTTATAGGTATTGTATCATATAATTTTATAGGTATTGTATCCTGTATAACTAGAAAAAAAAGTTACTTTAAGAGTATAAATATCCCTCCTAGCAACATTCATCAACATTTTCTGTTGCAAAAACTGGACGCAATTATGCAAACGATATAATGATGAAGCACTAATAAAGAGAAAACATAATGAGGACGCACATTGAGAACGCACAGTGAGTATGCAGTACTGGGGAGGCACATTGAGAACACGTATTGATGATACCCTACTAGGGACGCACAAACTCGTGATTTTCAGAGGCCGATTGTTAAAACGATATTGGAAATATCAGAAGGATAAAATCCTCGGTGAAAATGATCGAAATAAGAAGAAAATATTGAAATGATAGAGTTGATGGGTCGGATATTCTCTAGCTCTGTTTATGGTTTAAATATGATAAGAATTTGGCTTGGGTCTCTCACTGCCTGAGCTGCCTGGACTGCCTTGAACAAAGTCATGGAGCAGCAATCAGTCAATAAGCATGTTTATAGTAATAGTCGGTTCCAAATATGGTTTAGCTAGGGATGGGAGTTATTCATGTTTGGGATAGAAGTGGACGTTATTCATAGTTGGGATAGAAGTGGACATTATTCATTGTTGGGATAGAAGTGGACATTATTCATTGTTGGGATAGAAGTGGACGTTATTTACATGGTTTGGATAGAAGTATATGTTATACATGGTTTGGAGTGGACGGTATCCATGATTTGGAGTGGACGGTATCCCTGGTTTGGAAAGGAGTAGACAGTATCCATGGCTTGGATAGGAGTGGACAGTATCTATGGTTTGAATATAAGTGGACAGTATACATGGTATGGATAGGAGTGGACAGTATACATGGCATGGATAGGAGTGGACAGTATTCATGGTTTGGATAGGAGTAGACAGTATCCATGGTTTGAATAGGAGTGGACAGTATACATGGTTTGGATAGAAGTGAACAGTATCCATGGTTTGGATAGGAGTGGACAGTATACATGGTTTGGATAGAAGTGAACAGTATCCATGGTTTGGATAGAAGTGAACAGTATCCATGGTTTGGATAGGAGTGGACAGTATACATGGTTTGGATAGAAGTGAACAGTATCCATGGTTTGGATAGGAGTGAACAGTATCCATGACTTGGATAGGAGTAGGCAGTATCCATGGTTTGGATAGGAGTATACAGTATCCATGGTTTGGATAGGAATAGACAGTATCCATGACTTGGATAGGAGTATACAATATCCATGGTTTAGATAAGAGTGAACGTCATGAGAATGATTTGGGTACACACATGTATCCATTTTTCGTTTGGTTTATTTATGGTGTCTATTTATGTTTTTATAATCTGGAGGATGTTAAATCATCAACCAAGTCATAACAATCGTGCCGCCCATCCCTAGGTTAGGAATATCTAGAATATCGTCTAGTCACCTTTGGACTGATATCTCATCAATAGTTTGGTAAAAAGGTCTGTTGGGGTTAACCAGGGGTTAAATGAATAAACAGGTTTTTATTGAATAATAAACAAAATACGTTGCTGAGAGACGTTGAACCAACCATTAATACTTTATTCATAAACACACTGCCTCAGCCTTTACCGTTCAATAAATCAATCATTCACGAGTTAAAGGAATTGACGTCGTAATATTAACTGACCCTTTCATTAAAGGGGAATTACGGTAATATTTAAAGGAACTGTAAGCGTAATTTCAAGTGACCCTCCATGCAAAGATGACATTGCTAGATTCACAACAGTACTCTTAAAACTTTAACAGATTAATCATGTGAAAAGTATTGTCGTTTTACAGGTTTAACAGTGTTTAGTTCTGATAGTTCCGATATATTTCCTATATGTAAGAATGCGCAAGTTACTTTTGTAGAGAAACCACAATTAAAAACAATCAGTTTTCAAAATTATAAACAGTCTTGATAAGGCAAAGCTTTTAATGGTACTTTTGTAAACCCGGCATTGTCATCTTTGCATGGATGGTCACTTGAAAATACGTATACAGTGCCTTTAAGAGTTTCTTCTATGCTCTTTGCTTTGAATTCTGTAAATATTTCATTCATGTGAAGGTATTTTGATTTCTTTGACGTCAGCTTGTTTTAAAACCTTGTTTTGCTCCAGCCTTTCCCTGAATTTAAGTAGACTGAATTAACATTGTTGAGCACAACGTGAAATTTAGTTGTTATTACATATCAATAGGTTTTATAACAATTATTTTATCTGAATTATTCAAGAAAAAACCTTAAACTTCACCGTAATTTAAAATTATTGCATCAGAATTAAAGATTCGCAAAAAGATGGAAAAAACGAAATACTTTAAATTATGAAATTAGACCAAACACATATTTATAGTTAATAATTTATAGTTAGTAGAAAGCAGTTGAGGTGTCAACACCTCCTCTCTCTGAGGGAAAGCATGCAAAATGCTTGCAGAATATATTCAGGACTAGGGCCGCAACCCTTATATAACCTTTTTGCTGTGAACGAGTATGGGTTCACACCCTTTGCTAATGGTGGATGTCAAAGTCTACTATTTTGCTGAATCAATATGTATTTATAAGTTCAATGAATGCATTCCTAAAAATGTTTTGATTATTTAAGTGCTGACTAATTATCTACTTGTAAATGCACAATGAATGTATATATTTAGTTGAGATTTCAATATGTATACTTTGTTTCAAAAAAAAACGATCAAACAAAATTATCAAACATTATATTTTCAATTGGCTCATAATAAATTTTCTGTTGTGTTTTATTTTAAGCTGAACCATCATACATTATTATTTTGTATTTTGTGTTTGAAAATAAATACTATAACTATAACTATAATTGTTGATGGGAAAATAAAATAAAGTAGAGGATACGAAAACAATGAATAAGATAAAGAATAGAAAAAGGAAACTTTTATTTAAGATTTCGTTGATCCACAATCGATATGCAAAATGGAAACTTTTGATTAAAAGAAATCAAGTGCTTTTTCTAGATCTCTCATTGGAAAAGAGCGTTTTTTGGGGGTTAGACATTTCGGATGTCTAAAACGAATTAACTTAATCTGCAGCATAAAATCTTTCTGGGATTGTCAATTCAAAAGTTTCGACCATATTTTTATTGTTAATCTTATCCATATATAAAGAAATATGGTTGACCTTGGATTAAGCTTCTATATAAAGGAGAAGGGTTCATGAGAAGAGTTTAAACTTCAAGTTTGAAATATTAAAATAGGATTTTATCCTGAACCTAATCAGATAGGGGGGAGGAGATTTCCCAGTAGTTTTACACATAAAATATAGACCTAATTTCTTCACAGTTCGATCAGAGTTTTTTACAAGTCTAAAATTGTTTTTAGATAATATATTTTAGTATCGATGAAACCTAAATTTTAGATGTGAAATGATATGCATTCGGCCTGTGTGTGTCTATTGGTCTGTCCGTCACTTCTGTATGCCGAGTCCATTAGCGCCTGATT